AGAGAGAGAGAGAGAGAGAGAGAGAGAGAGAGAGAGAGAGAGAGAGAGAGCGAGAGCGAGAGCACAATGTGCAAAGGGCCGGTGGTAAACTGCAAATGTCTGGTTGGTCATGAACAAAAAAATAAAAGTCGAGCCAGAGCGATGCGCCGTGAGTTCATGAATCTTTGTCACGCCGTAATGTCGGCGCGTCGAGAGGTCGTCCACGTGTGCGCGAGAAAGAGCAACATTTTTAATTTAGTTCCGATCGAACGGCTTTCCAATAAACCCAGTAGAACAACGTTATCTTAAAGCATTCTATTTTACTATATAAAATTAAGGTCAGGATAACTTTATTTTCGATAAAAAAGTTTCTATTTACTGAAAAGGTTATCTAATGTCCGCCCGAAGTATAACTTTTAACATCCAAAAAGATATTTAGATATAAAAGTATCAAGTTGGTATATGGATACAAATTAAATATATACTAAGTGATAACTGTAAGATGCGTAAATGAACTAGCTATTGACCAACTGTAAACTGTTATTTAATCGATGTCATATTAATGGAGACGAATTATTGACATCGACTTGTTATCTTATAGATACGTTCCAAAAGTTAACTTCAAGAACGTTAACCAATAGGCAACCTGTTTTACTTGGGAACGTAGCGTTTCGACGGCGGCGCGACCTCCGCCGTCGGTTCCTCAGATTGGACGAATCCTCCCTCCCTTATACGTTAAGACAGATGATATTTGATCCAACTAGAATTATAGTTACCTTTGGTCCTAAGCGTATTTCTCAGTTGCTCCAATACGAAAGCATATACATATATTAATATTATAGAATATTAGTATAACACGTATATAAGATTATTTATATTATTATCACTAACGTTATAACATAATTTAAAATAGTTCTTAACTATAATAATTGACTATAGTTATGCAAAAATTATTCGACTCACAAAATTATAATTTTGAAGTTATCAACGGGTAGTTCATAAAATAGAAAAGATCTGATGGATCTAAAGTGGGCGCCTAAAATTAATTAAGTTTTGACTTTCCACTAGTCGTTTACTTGTTTTTTTTTTTTTTTTTTTTTTTTTTTTTTTTTTTTTTTTTTTTTTTTTTTTTTTTTTTTTTTTTTTTTTTTTTTTTTTTTTTTTTTTTTTTTTTTTTTTTTTTTTTTTTTTTTTTTTTTTTTTTTTTTTTTTTTTTTTTTTTTTTTTTTTTTTTTTTTTTTTTTTTTTTTTTTTTTTTTTTTTTTTTTTTTTTTTTTTTTTTTTTTTTTTTTTTTTTTTTTTTTTTTTTTTTTTTTTTTTTTTTTTTTTTTTTTTTTTTTTTTTTTTTTTTTTTTTTTTTTTTTTTTTTTTTTTTTTTTTTTTTTTTTTTTTTTTTTTTTTTTTTTTTTTTTTTTTTTTTTTTTTTTTTTTTTTTTTTTTTTTTTTTTTTTTTTTTTTTTTTTTTTTTTTTTTTTTTTTTTTTTTTTTTTTTTTTTTTTTTTTTTTTTTTTTTTTTTTTTTTTTTTTTTTTTTTTTTTTTTTTTTTTTTTTTTTTTTTTTTTTTTTTTTTTTTTTTTTTTTTTTTTTTTTTTTTTTTTTTTTTTTTTTTTTTTTTTTTTTTTTTTTTTTTTTTTTTTTTTTTTTTTTTTTTTTTTTTTTTTTTTTTTTTTTTTTTTTTTTTTTTTTTTTTTTAGCCAGTTGCGTCGTTTTTATTCATTCTTTTTACAGGTCAAGCTCGTCAAGGAATACTCTCGAAGAAAAGCAAATTGACCGTGCTTGACTTTCTGGAACAATTGCGAAGGATCTCAGTGCTACTTGTACTTCTTGAATCACGCATCAAATTTTCGTCTTCATTTTCCTCGAAACGTACTGTGTATAACATACATATGTGGCTACTGTGAAAAAGGTACTTTATATGGATTGGGTCATTCTTGCATAACTACGGCCAATTTGTGGCGATGATGTCTCCATATGATTATAGTTACAAATACACAAACGTCCCTTTCTCAGTGTACGCATCCATAAGCACACGCATACACAGGCGAACACGTGCACGCGCCGGTTGGATAATGGGAAATTGGAAAGAAAGACGGTCGTGGCGGCGGCGGCGAGTCATTTATATGCAACGAGCGATTTCTCGCGTTTAAAAAATGCAATAGGTCGGTGGACGATGGTGCGAGAGCGAGCGAGAGGCGAGACTTGCGCTGCGCGCGATCAATATTGTGTTGTCGGTGCGGGTTTTGCCGCGTATGTACGTGTGCATGTGTGCGAGCAGACCGTTCGAAAAATTCGAGCGATATTACGGGACGCACGCTGCGTGTTGTGGTCTGATGCGCCGCGAAAATCCCCAAGGAACGCTCGAATTTTGGCCGCACACACCGCGCTTGATTCCGTGCCTGATGTTGTTACGTGGCGGCGTGCCGGAATTCTCCACTTTCTCTCTTTTTCCTTCTCACAAAATACTCTTTCTCTCTCTCTCGTTTTTTTGTTTTTCATGTTCGTTTTAACTGCAACGCGCCGCACGTAGAAGTGAGAACGCTGATCCATGGTGACGCGTCTCGTCGAATCGTCGCGAGATTGACCGTGAACGAACGATCGATACGTGGTGCGCTACTAATGGCCCGACTGTTTGTTATAAATTATTGTTACAGTCATCCGGCTCTGTATTTTGTGCGAACCGCGAAAACATTGTCGCACAGAGACCGTGAAATCCGCGAGAACGTCTACCGCGAATTCCAACGGAGACACATGTAAAAGTCATCGATCTTGATACGATTTTCATACGGTGTACAGCGATTAAAAATAAGAAAAAGATGTCTTTTTTTATGTACTCCTCAGAAGTCGAAAAATCCCTCCAAAGAAATTCAGAAATTGATTATGAGCGGATATCTTCGAAACCTGTAAGGTGTTTGAAAACATTTTTCAGCAGAGAAGTGTGGCAGTATTTAATTTATAATTTAATTTTGTCGAAAGAAAAGTGCCGTACACTTGCTGTAGTATTCAATTTATATTTTAATTTGGACGAGAGAAGCGTTATACACGGAGAAAATTTTCTAGTAAAATTTACTGCAAAATTTTGTAGTCGAATTGATCGATATTCTGTGATAATTTAATATTCTTTCATTTCTCATTTGTTTTATGCTTATTTTAGGAACTGTGCTGTTAAAACATTTCTCATGTTCCTGCACGAAAAGAATTTTATAGTTAAAATTACTGTAGAATTTTGCAACCGAGGCATTCTGCAGTATTTGGTTATCTTTTCACTTTTTATATGATATTTTTTAGAAACTAAAATGTGCTGTCTAAAATCTGCCATTTTTCTAACGAAACTCACTATTTTTCTTTGAAAAATAGACCTTACCGACAGCCTATTCCTTCACCACTGGGAATATAATAAAATTAAAAAGAACTTATATAAAAATAAAACACACATCATATTCTCTCTCTCTATCCGTGTATTCAATACAATTCAATACAATAGTATTCAATACAATTTAATTTTCTACTTTAGTTTTTTTTAAATCTCATGTGAGAATTAAAGTTATTTTAAAAAAATGAATATTTCAAATCTCTCTCCAAATATATAATTGTTAGCATGTCAAATGTCATAGGAATGTTGTTTAAATTTTTTTTATGGCTCAGTTTTACCGAATACCCTTCGAGGAATTGTTTCAGCCCCTAAACATGCGAGAAAGTGCACATAAAAAATACATGAAAAATACTCTTGTTTTATATCATTCTACGATATACCCCAATATTATATAATGAGTCAACGCGCGTGTCCACTTACGAGTCGCCGACATCGCTCCATTATCTTTCCCATTGCATTCATGGTAACCGCACGACCGAACGTCTGCCGAAACGGCCGAAGCCCGTTGAATATTCAGCCTGATTCGCTCTGTTGATAGGAGCAGCGTGCGCCCTTATCTGAGAACGCACATGTGTAATGGTTGACGCGAAAGATGATCGCGTTGTTTACACACCTGTCGGCACTTAATGACTTTCGCGAGCGGGCGTTCAAACCCTTCGTCATTTTTTCGGTAAAACCGCAGAGTCCGGTTCGACTCGTTTTCTCGCGAGACCTTCTGCCGTTGAACATAAGTTGAACGTAAGTTAAACGTATCAAATAGTTGTTATTCCGAAAACAATTATTCTTGGTTACTTACGGTTACAATGTGATCTTTTTCACCTATCAGATCGTGAATCTTTCGAGTTTTTAATCTTACGATTTTAAATATAATCCTATTATTCTACTGCTATGTAGCAGAGACAGCGCGTGCATAGTTGTGATTTGTCTGTGAGCCTTTGTTTCCTGAAAGTATTTATATGTCGCATTTGGATTTTTCTCTGCTGATGCTTCTGACACTGGAGACGTAGAGGATACAAGCGTAAACAAGAAATTGCAGCATGCGAAAATGTCGTTTTATGTGAGATACTGAGATTTGAATTCAATATTAGAGATACGAGTTTTTTAGTTAAATCGCAATCGCCACTGTGTGTGTAACATATATATTATCTGATTTGATCAAGAAACTCATATCTTTATTTGAATTAAAATCTACCAAGATAGACAGGTGTATACAAATTTGGCAGCAACTTTATATGTTAATCAACTTGTTGTGTCTTATGAGTGGCTCATGTGGCACTCGCATTAATCACACGTAATAACAAAATAGAAATACGAAAAGAATGACCAAAGTTTGCTCGAAAGTCACTCTAATCCTGATGACATTATTTATTCCAACAATATCTTTTTAGGGCAGTATACCCAAAATGCTAAGGCGTACATCACTTTCATATTTATATATCTTTAATCTACTCATGAATATAGCTACAATTTTATTTAAGAAAATTTTGGATTTCGTATACACACACACTACACACACTGCAGATTGGGTTAAACTTGGCTCATTCTTTGTTAATTGCACATTTTAGTTCTTGAAATACCACGCACAAAATAGGAGCAAGGTCAATTATTGCAGAATGTCAATCTGTTTCTTGGTTATAAAATATCTTGGAATATTTTTACTATAAAATTCTCTCTGTGCAGAAAGAACAAGTGAATTTTTGCATAGTATACAACGCATCCCGATTAGTCGTTGATTCCTTTTCCTCCATTTGTGGGAGAATCAAGATCTCCCATCATCGCGTAGGTGGATAAATATTTCAGATAAGTTTCTATGTGGAACAGAGGTTTTATATCGATATTTAGTGCGCGCGCGCGCCGAATTAAGTTCGCATTTTCGCGTTTTCTTCCTCTCTATTTATGGTGCCGATAGCGCGCGCGGCGTGCCGAACATACAAAATAAAATCGGCGGGAATAGCCAAGCCGCGGCGCGTGGTAAGTGCGCCTATACGTGTACGTATGGCCGCGCTTTGTATTGGAAAACTATTCGGAATTCGAGATGAAAATCGCTCGTTCGTATTGTCGTCTACAGACGTCGCGCGCGGATGGAGATTATATATCGAGAGAGGGAGGAGAGTGCGAAAATGGAAAGAAAGACAGAGAAATAAAGAAAGAGGGAAATATGGGAATTTGTAAACGGCATTTCGATCAACCGTCAAGCAAAGATTACGCGCCGGAAAGCTGATTAGCCGTGTCTCCCGTTCGCCATAGACGCGTATTACGAATCGATTTTATCCCGAATATAATAATTCCGGAACATCAGCACAGTGCAGAGACCACGGATAAGTCGCGAATTAAACCGTTGCTATATCCGTGATGGCGGCGTCGGCGGTGGAGGAGGAGGAGGAGGAAGAGGAGGATTGTTTCGCGTCAAAGGACACGGGCTTTTGGTCTTCAGCGCCACGAAATTGTCGAAAGCGGACGCGGAGAAAGCAACGAAATTCGCAATCTGTACACCATCCCGTGCCCTTTTCCCCCCGCTTCCCTTCACTTTCTTTTTAGTTACGTTTCATCCGCGCACTTTGAATCGCATGAAAATTAAATGGGACTATCGTTACTATGCGCTTTGAGCTTGTAACCTCTATCTATCTCTCTTTCTCTCTCTCTCTCTCTCTCTCTCTCTTCTCCGCCGCCCTTGCTGTCTCTCTCACTCTCCTTTAAAAAGGGAGTCATGGCCAAATTACAGCAGGCCAGCGTGAGACAAGCACGCAGCGAGTTCTGTCTCTGTTTCTCCCGCACGCGTTTCCGGATGTAATATCCGTCACTTTATGAATGCACTTTTTCTTCGCTCTCTTGCGGGAAGGTCTTGCCCTCTCGGACGCGTCAACTACCACCACCACTAACGCGCGCAACGCCAGATGCGGAGGAGGCAGATAAAGGGAGGAGGGCACAGACGTATCGCGCATTTTACAATGAGATACACGCGTTCTCCCCACCGCGAACACACACGCGCCCAAAGCCCCGCCAGTAATAATCCCCGCGAGATAAATATCCCGCATTTTCTCGTATTTTGCTCGCCGCGCGGATTGCGGACTCGCGGTTCTCGCGCGCCCGCGCGATATTTCACCGCGCCGGGATATCATATTCAGTAAGTCCGCTTTTGACGGCTGTGTCAAACGAGGGCGGGATATTTTCCGGCGATTTCCCCGACGCGCGCGCACGCGCAAGCCAGAGAGAGCTCGGGGGATCCTATAACATCGGCGATCCGAGCTATCCGCTCGCTAACGCGCCTTTATCTCCCGAGTATTTCGCGCGGCTGAAGATACCCGTGGCGCACATCCTCTCTATACGGCCGGGGGAATCGTGACTTCGTTTGAAATTCTCCCGATGCGGGCTGAGAGAGAGAGAAAAACGTCGTTTTTCGCGGGAAATCGTCGCTCAAATACGCCGACAATAAGGAACGGCGGCGGCGACGGTGGTGCCCGAGGAAGCCACACATCGAGTGTGTGTATGTGGCGTCTTCTCTCCCTTTCTCTCGCCCTCCTCCGCCATTCTCTTTC